GTGAACTTGATTTTGGGGTGTGTGCTGTTTAGGTGTGTTAGGAAATTGTTTAGGTTTTCTTTTCCATGGGGCCAAATCACAAATGTGTCATCGATGTATCTTAACCATAGTTTGGGTTTGTGGATGGCATTGGCCAGGGCTCTGGATTCGAATTATTCCATGAACAGGTTTGCAATGACGGGTGACAGTGGTGATCCCATAGGGGCTCCTTCAATATGTTTGTATCTTTGTCCTTTGTATATGAAATATGTGTTGGTTAAGCAGTGTTCTGTTAGTTCCATGAGGTGTTTAGCTGGTTGGTATTTATTTTTGATGATTTCAAGGGTCTCTTTTATCGGGACTTGAGTGAATAGTGAAACCACGTCGAAACTTACAAGCAGATCTTCTTGCTCCACATGTAGATCTTTGATCATTTCCAAGAAGTGGTATGAGTTTTGTACATGTGAAGCTGCTGTTTCAGCATGGGGCTGTAGCTGTTTTGCTAAGTGTTTAGCTAGGTTTTGTAGTGGTGCTCCTCTGGAGCTGACTATGGGTCTGAGAGGTATGCCTTCTTTGTGTATTTTTGGGAGGCCGTATAGTTTGGGGCATCTGGAAGATTTTTCTCTTGGGATGATCATCTGTTGGATCTCTTTGCTCATGTGGCTGGTTATAATTTTCTTCATGTGGCTGGTTATAATTTTCTTCTTGGTTAATTTTTCCAGATATGTGGTTGGGTCTGTGTTTATGGGTTTGTATGTGGAGTCTTGGAGTAGGTCTGTCAATTTTGTTTCGTAGTCTTTTCTGTCCATTACTACAGTGGCATTCCCCTTGTCTGCTGGGAGGATGATTATGCTGCTATCTCTTTTCAGGGTTTGTAGCGCTTTAATTTCATTTTTCTGCAAGTTGCTTTTGGGTGGTTTGCTTGTGCATAGGATGTTGGTAACTTGGTGTCTTATTTTATCAGCTTCATCAAAATAAGACACAGACGAACACAATACAGAAGCCTGATGATGGCAGATGAGATTCTGCCGAAACGTTGCTACAACTTTAAAAGCACAACTATAATGATGTGGGAAAATACCCGAACAAAGCTGAATACCATATATCTATATCTATATCTATATCTATATCTATATCTATATCTATATCTATCTATCTATCTATCTATCTATCTATCTATCTATCTATCATCTATCTATCTATCTATAAAATGTTTAAATAATATTTAATATAAAAATTATACACACACACACTTATTTAATTATAATAAAAACATAAATGCTTAATGATAACAAAATAAAACATTCTGAGCTGGAAGCCTCCCCCCACCTGCACCTTCCAAAGAGACAGAAGAGCCTTCCAGATGCCAGGTGGAGGATTGAGAGAGCTCAGATCTGCAGTAGAGGAAAAGCTGGGGGGGGGAGGTGGCTCTTTCCAGCCTCACCTGGAGACAGGCAAGGAAAGGTGTCCCTGGGGGCACTTCGCTGCCAAACCCAACCACAGCCAGTGATTATTTGGGGGCAGGTGAGAGAGAGAGAGAGAGAGAGAGAGAGAGAGAGAGAGAGAAGAGAGAGAGAGAGAGAGCATCTCTCGCATTACCAGGAGAGGAAAGGAGGTGAAACAAAAATCACTCTTTCACCGAGACCTACAAAACACCAATCTACTGCATTTCAGGAGATCTTAAAAACCACCAAACGCTCCCACTTGCAGTTCCCGTGCCTCCCGGCTCAGGTCCGAGATGCATGCTCCCACACACGGCGGCAGTGGCAACAACAGTCCCCTCCCCCAGCGCCCGCTGTCAGCTCTACCCATTAGTTCTCTAGCTTTGAATTGCTCCCGCCTCTCTTTCCTCCCCCCGCGCCCACGTGCAGGCAGGAAAGGAAAGGGAGACGGAGCCATGCGCAGCTCTCTGCTTTTCCAGCCCTCGCTGCCCTTCCCAACATCGAAGCCTCAGAAACACAGGCAAAGCTGCCACAGCGGTAGCGCCCTGAGTTGTTTGCTTCTCACTTCTGCCTCCTCCTCCAGAACCTCCTTCCCTGAGTTGTTTGCTTCTCACTTCTGCCTCCTCCTCCAGAACCTCCTTCTCTGGGTAACTTAACCGAGCATGCTAAGGCAACTCAGGGCGCTACTGGGTGCAGGGGGGGGGAGGAAAGAGAGGCAGGAGCAATTCAAAGCTAGAGAACTAATGGGGAGAGCTAACAGTGGGCATGGGGGGTGGGGACTGTTGTTGCCGCCGCCATGTGTGGGAGCTGGTTGGTGTGTGCATCTCAGGAACCTGACTCCGGGGTTCCTCGAAGAGCTGGAAGTCGAGAGAACTGCGCGGCCCAGATTAATTGCTTTTGAGGGCCATTTCTTCTGCGGCCCACCAAAAATTTTCTACGGCCCACCGGTTGGCGACCGCTGCTTTAGAAAGACAACTTTTGTCTCCACATTAAAAAAAAAATCAATGCTCAATTCCAAGAGCCACAAACTGGAAAGGATAGATTAATAGTTTCCTTATCCAATTGAAAATGACTATTTTCAGTGTTTTGTCTATCAATTTATATATTAAAATGCATTCTTCTCATCTTTTTAATACTTATAGGCAGTCCTCAGGTTACAATGGCAATTGGGTTTTGAATTTCCATTGCTAAGCAATGTGGTACAACCTCAAGTCCACATGGGCAGGGAAGCCAGCGATGCAAATAGGTTGTTGGTGGCAGGCTCTTTGGAGCATGAACAGGTTGGCAGAGGCAATGTACAGGCCATTGGAGGTCATGGGCAGGAGTTATAGAGAATGAGCGGCTGCAGGCAGGTCAGCAGGTTTGTGGGTGGTTGCTACAAAGCGCAAGCAGGATGATTTGGGGGAGATGCTTGATGTTGTATTCTCTAGGAGGCTACTTGGGAGAAAAAGCAGTGGGAGTAACTTACTGGAATAACTTGTGACTTTCCCTACCACCTTGCCCATTCACTTTGCTTGTGGAGGCTGACAGGAAATGGTGCAAATGACAATCAAGGGAGGCTGCAGTGGCCCTAAGTGTGAACCCAAAAATAATGAAGTCACTGTGGGTGCTGCAATGGCCAGAATTTTGAGAACCAGTCATAAGTACTACTTATTCAGTGCTACCATAACTTTAGTGGTTGCAACCTAAGAACTACCACGTTCCCTCGAAAATAAGACCTGATCTTATTTTCTTTTGGGTTTGAAAATAAGCACTTGGGTTTATTTTCAGGGAGGTCTTATTTTTTTTGACACGCAGGAGGCAGTGAGCACGGGAGCCAACAGGAGTGGGAATGCAGCTACCGTTGGCCCCGCCCTCTCCGTCCCACTGTCTGCTTGCCCACGGCTGCAATGGGCCAAGCTTTTGGCACACCCTCTCTGACTGCTGGCCCAGCTGCTGCTGGGACATTTCTCGCCCTTGTCGAGTGCCGTACTGTCCACAGCTGCCCATGCTGCTGCTGGCCTCGCAGAGCCTCTTCGCCCTCCTGGCAGCTCTGCTCTTGGATGCCCTGCTGGGCTGCTCCTGCCTGGCATGGGGTGAGTCATCCCAGATCAAAAACCTCTGGAGCGCCACTGGCCTGCCAGTGTCCCTTCATGAGTGGCCAGTGGAGCCATGCTGCCTGTGCCACCTCACCCGCCACCGAGTAGGCATTGCAGGCTGGCACTCAGTAGCCCAAAGGCAGCAGCAGGTGAGGTGGCACAGGCAGCATGGGTCCACTGATGGCTGCTCGCGAAGGGGCCAGGCAGGCCAGCGGCGCTCTGGTGGTTTTCGATCTGGGATGAGTCATCCCACGCCAGGCAGGAGCAGTCCAGCCAAAAGCAGCACTGCCAGGAAAGCAAAGAGCCCGTGAGAGGCCAGCAGCAGCATGGGCAGCCGCTTGGCCACTTTAAGACTTGTGGATTTCAATTCCCAGAACTCCCCACAGGCCCCCCATTTTCCTGCTGATCGACCTTTCCTTGAGGAGCCCTACACAGACCATATCCCAAAAATGCTCCCACCAAGACCTCCAGCCTTTTAATCCTGTGCAGGGAAGGCGGAGGTTTGGTCTGAAGCTGCAGCAAAACATTGCACTGGGAGGCCTCGTGACTAGCACTGAATTGCACATCTTGCTCTAGTGAGAGGGGTGCAGGCTGGGTGCTTGGCGGCCAGGGAAGATAGGATTTGGGGGTACAAAGAAGGGACGATCTCCCCCTTCCTCCTCTGCCCTGCTGCAGGGCCATCACGGAGCTCGTGCAGGGCAGTGTGACTGCTGGCAAAGGGGACCTTGGCAGGCCGGCGGCAGGGGAGATGCTCTAGAGATCTGGGCCAAGTTGCCCCACAGGCAGAAGTAGCCCAGCAGGGCTGCTTAGAGCAGCACAGCCAGGAAGGCGAGACTAGCAGCAGCAGCAGGTGCAACAGGCCCAGCAGCCAGGCAGAGGCGGGGGGAGAGGAGCCATGCACCGCATGGCTTTCTGCCTCATCATAGCAGCAGCTTGAGAAAAATCCAAGCTCCAGGCCTGGCAGAACGTAAACTGTGGTCGCCGCCTGCTCCAGAGTCACCCTCAGCTGCAAGGTTGCTTGGCACTGGGGGCAGGGCTGGGGCTGGCAAGAGTGCACTGGAAACACCTCCAGGTGCCCAAAGAGACAGAATGAAGCAGCTCCTGGCCCTCACTGGCTCAGCTGATCCACAGGGCCGCAATTAAGGGGCTGAGCCTCCATGAGGTGACCAGGGAAGGGCTTATATTAGGCCCATCCAAAAAAATCAGGCTAGGGCTCATTTTCAGGGTAGATCGTATTTTACCTGAAGTTACAAAATACTGCTGACATGCCTTTTCAGAACAACTCCAAACCAACAACAAACACTTGATTTGTATTACAGAATTTGGAAGATTATAAAGGATAGGAGGCAAATAAGAGAACATGTTGTAACGAGCTGCTGAAACAACTCAACCGAGACTTACATATTGGATGAAAAATGATGAATTTAATATATAATGAATTATTCATACTGTCAATTGAAGAACAATTTTATTTTGATATAATTATAGAAAAATTGCTTACTGTTGGGATTGAGGTTGTACAGCTCACTCTTCTCAGACGCCTTTGCATGAGATCATGTTCCATATTATTTACTTCACCTTTAAGTTTCTCAAGTTCTTCATTCTCAAACTTCAGCTCCTTTGCTAACCTCTCCATCCTTGCACGTTGATGTAACAGCAAAGCTAGTGAATTACAAAGAATAATATGCATAAAATTAAGAAATCCAACTTTTAACTACAGAAGTACAAACAAATGACCTTTTCAAAAACAGAATGCAATCAAATGCTGAGATACAAATACTTCATGAGAAAGGAACAAGAGCTATACACATAATATTCCTCCATAAGGAAGTTCATTATTTTACATACTCATGAAGATAAGGTAATTTCGCTTAATGCTAATTGGGACCTGAATTTTGATCAGTAAAAGTAATGCAGTTGTAAAGTGTGATATCGCATGACTGTGCAGCTTACTGATAGCAGTTCCCAAAGTCCCCAGTTAAACAAATCACTGTGGATCATTAAGTGAGGACTTTCCCTGACAGTGAATTCAGATTTCCTGATGGCTTTCTCATTGACTTTGCTTGTGGAAAGCTATAAAGGAAAATTGCAAATCACAATCACATGATTGAAGGATGCAAATCACAATCACATGATTGGTCAGAAATGTGGCAGGTTGCCAAGCACTTGCATCACAACCACATGAACACAGGAGCATGGCAACAGCTGGAACTTGGAGGAGTTGTCATAAGTACCAACTGCTAAGAACCAATGTTTCATTGCTGAAAGAATGGTTGTTAACCAAAGGCCACCTGTATTATCAGTTCAGGGACTTGGCTCATTTTTGTTCATTAGACCATCAATAAAGAACAAGCTATACGTGAAGGAACCTTAATAGATGAACTACAGTGTAGTCTGAAAAACTCTTGACTGATAAATAACCAGCTATTAAGGGAATGTTACAGTAAGTCCTTTAGAAAAACAGCTTCTTTCCAGATCACAAAATCAGTGCTCAGGTTAAATCCAAGGAATTCCAATAACCAGAAACAGGAGCAAAGTATTGACAGCTTTATCTTTTGTTTTAGAATAAAGATTCAACTTTGAATCTTAACAATTTTCTTCAATCATGAATTTGTATTTTTTCCTTTGGAGAAAAAAGGAGTTAGGTACTTTAATATATAAGGTACTTTAACAGATTAATAGAGTTGGAAGGGACCTTGTAGATCATCTAGTCCAACCCCCCCCCGCCCAAACAGGAGACCCTAGCCCATTTCTGATAAATGGCAGTCCAGTTTCTTGAAAACCTCTAATGATGAAGCTCCCACAACTTCCAAGGGCAAGCTGTTACACTGGTTGATAGTTCTGTCAGAAAATTTCTCCTTATTTCTAGGTTGAATCCCTCCTTGATCAGTTTCCATCCATTATTCCTCTGGACCAGTGGTTCCCAAAGTGGGCAGTACTGCCCGCTGGGGGGTGGTGGGATGCCTTAGGGGGGCACTAAGAGGCAAGGGGGCCAGCAGGGGGACGTTCGAGGTGCCGGCCCCGCAGGCTCACTGACTGCCGGCCCCGCAGCCCATTGACTGTTTCATCGCTCCATAGCCGGCGCCTCGAATACGGAACCTGCATGCGGTGAGCCTTGCCAAGCCTGGGGGGGGAGAGAGGTGGGAGGTGGCGAAAAGGGGGTGCCTTAGCTTGCAGGCTGCCCTCTCCGGTGGAAGCGGCGGAGGCGCACCAGAAGGCCCAAAAGCAAAATCCTCCCAAGGTGCACAGTGGAAGCAGTGGGTGGTCCGGCATTAGGGCCCCCTTCCCCGGAGAACAAGGGAGCACGCAGCGCCCGCCCAGCCTCCTCCTCTCCAGCCAGCCGGGCTTGCGTGCAGGATGCGGGTGGGTGCAGCTGCAGCTCTCCAAGGTGCGTGGCTTGGTTCGGTTCGGCTCTATGTGGCCGTCCCAGACCTAGAACCTAGCCTCCCTCTGCAGCCCGGTTCTTCCGACCCAGCCCTGCGCTTGCTTGCTTGGTTTCCAAGTGATCGTTCCCTCCACCTCCGCTGGTCTGGGCTGCTTCCGCATGCCTTCCTCGTCCTGGGCGGAGTGTAAAGATGGGCAGAATGCTTCCCCGAAGTTGGGAGTCTCTGAGTGTGTACAGAGTACCTCCCCTTGCTTGGCCCGATGGAAGTGGACCTTGGGTTGAAGCAAAGAGGGTGAAGTCGGCCGCATCGCTGCCCCGGGGAGGTTGGCATTGCAAAATTGGATGCCAAAGAAAGAACTGGGGCAGGGGGCTGGATAAGGGGCAGAGGGGCAACTGCATTAAGGAGCAGGAAGATCTTAGCCATGGTATATTGACTAAGCCGGAATCAAACAGCATGCTAAACTCTAAACAAGAATGGCTGGATTGATATATTCAGCCCGTGTTTCTCAACCTTGGCAACTTGTGTGGACTTCAATTCCCACTCTAGCTTTGCTCTACTTTCCCAAAGTGCCGCCGCTGTCACATTCTTTCTGTCTGTCTGTCTGTCTGTCTGTCTGTCCGTCCGTCCATTCATCCTTCCATCCATCCATCCATCCATCCATCCATCCCCACACACACACATCCAAAAGGTCTGCCTGCCTGTCTTTCTGTCTACCTACCTACCTACCTACCTACCTACCTACCTACCTATATAGATCGGTCGGTCTGTCTGTCTGTCTGTCTGTCTGTCTGTCTGTCTATCTATCTATCTATCTATCTATCTATCTATCTATCTATCTATCCATCCATCCATCCATCCATCCATCCATCCATCCATCCATCCATCCATCCATCCAAAAGGTCTGTCTGTCTGCCTGCCTTCCTGCCTATCTACCTGCCTGCCTATCTGTCTACCTACCAACCTACCTATCTACCAATATAGATCTATCTACCTACCTACTTACCAATCTACCTACCTACTTACCTATCCATACATTCATCCAAAAGGTCTGCCTGCCTACCTATCATTCTATCTACCTACGTACCTACATACATACCCCCCCCTCTCTCCAACCATCCATCCATCCATCCATGTTTGAAGCGCCAGCCCTGCAGGCACATTGGAAAGTAGAGCAAAGCCAGAGACCTGATGCATCAGATTGAAATGAGGCCTAGTTTAGACTGAGGCCCTTTTGCACATTGAAGCATCTTTGCCAGCACATTGAAACCTCTTTGGCTTCTATTAAAGGTTTTGTGGACGAAACATGGTCAGGACTATCAGGAAGCTCTCACATTTTGTTGAGGCTTTAAACACAGGATCCATTGGACCAGATCTCCACCCTAAAAATTACTTTTCCACAATGTATTACAGTGCCAATTCTGAAGAAGGCAAAACCAAAATGTACTAGTAAATTACAAGAACACCCACCCACCCACACTCCCTTCTAACCCTGCTGGAGCAGGTGATTGGACTAGAATAGATATCTCATTATCTTTCTCCTCCCTCCCTCCTTTATGTCTTTTTCTTTCTGTCCCTTCCTTCCATCCCCCCTCTTTCTTTGTCCCTTTTTGTTTCTTTCCCTTTTCTCTTTCTTTTCTTCCTTCTCTCTTTCTCTCTCTCTGTCTTTTCTCTCTCTCTCTTTCCCTCTCTCAGGCTCACCCCATTGACTTGACTTGCTTGGGCAGGTCTCTCCGGTGCAATGGGCTCAATGGGGTGGACCTGCGGGGCCGGTACCTAGAACGCGGCAGTGGCGTCATGTTTGAAAAGTAGAGCAAAGCCAGAGGTCGGTCATTTTTGCTGCAAAGAATCACAAAAGCTTCTGGGTTGTGCACAAGAAAGGATACACATGTCAATGCAATTCAGCAACATAAAATAAAGATATCCAAATAAAACAAATCAACAAGAATTGGCAAAGCATCTCTGATTAGATTTTATTCACTACTAGAATCTAATCAGAGATGCTTTGCCGATTTTAGTCCAATGACCTGCTCCAGCAGGGTTAGAAGGGAGTGTGTGTATGTATGTGTGTGCATGGCTGTCAAAACTCCAAAAACAGGTCAAGTATCTCTGGGGAGGCCAGTCATAAATTAGAACAGTTGCTAAACAACCGGCCATTAAGCGAGGACCACTTGTTTGCCAGTCACCTGGCCACGCCTACCCAGTCACATGACCACCAAACCACACCTACCCGGTCATGTGACCAGCAAGCCATGCCCAGCCAGCAGGCCACGCCATCCAGTCACGTGACCAGCAAGACACGCCCACCCAGTCGCATGACCAGCAAGCCACATCCTCAAATTAGGCCATGCCCACAGAAATTTGAATCTCACCCCTGGGTGGGGGGCACCGGGGATGAGTTTGTAGCACCAAGGGGGCGGTGGACTGAAAAAGTTTGGGAACCACTGCTCTGGACTTTGGGCACTTTAGAAAATAGCTTGACCCCCCTCCTCTCTGTGGCAGCCCCTCAAATATTGGAAGACTGCTATCATGTCTCCCCTGGTTCTTCTCTTCACTAGACTAGCCAAGCCCAGTTCCTGTAACTGTTCTTCATATGTTTTAGGCTCCAGTCCCCTAAATCATCCTGGTTGTTCTTCTCTGCGCTTTTTCTAGAGTCTCAACATCTTTTTTATAGTGTGGCGACCAAAACTGGATGCAGTATTCTAAGTGTGGTCTTACTAAGGCGTGGTATTAGTACTCACTTGATCATTATTGTATCCCTCTGTTAATACAACTTAGTACTGAGTTGGCTTTTTTGGCTGTCACCACACACTGTTGGCTCATATTTAACTAGTTGTCCACTAAGACTCCGAGATCCCTCTCACAGTTACTACTATTAAGCCTGGTTTCATCCAGTCTATATTGTTGCAAGAAAGCTCACTACAAAGTGGAACATAAACATTTGTGAGATATTCTTATGGGTTTCCCCCCCCAATTTGGCTTATATTTATATAGCCTACTATATAGCAGCAGCTGTACTAGTCTTCCACCTTCTACTTCAATGAACTAATGTCTGCTTTACCACAGCCATACTTCTTTTTGTACCTTCAAGTCAGTGTTGATCTGGTAATGATCTGGATTAGTCCCTCAAAATATGAAAAAAACAATGTAAATAAATATTACAACTTATTGCAATTTATACTGATAAAACTCAATTCCAGATTAAAACAAATAATTTCTGTTGATTTTTTAAAGTACTCTACACTTCTATGCTTCCTTTATCTGAAATATGTAATGATATATTAGTTTTATAGTCAGAATTTTTTAGGGTATCATTCAGTTAAGTCATATTCCCAGACAGTCCCATTTCCAGTTCCTTTCTGTGCTATTATGTGGTACACAATATATTAACAACTATTTTTGCAATATTATATATTTTATTGTTATGTTGTAATGTGATGATGCTATGCTATGCTGGTTAGGTTAAGTTAGATTATACTTTTATCACCATATCACAGTGATCCAGCAGGTCCATCCCATCACCATTTTTACTGCTGCAGAATTCAAAGTGGTAAATGAAATAAGTGTGTTTCTTTCATCTTGAGAGAAAATCACAGGCATGATTTGTTAACCTATGCTTATTAACTTATACAGTTGGAGGGATATTTGTATTTGGGGAGACAGCTATTTAAGATGAACCATAGTTCAAATGATTTGATTCTTAGGAAACATTTTGAAAATTATTAAGCAAAAAACATATCAATCTTACCTTGAGTATAAGCATAGTCATCTGATCCAGAGCTGGAACTTCTCTGGTACTTATGCCTTCCTCTTTCACCCCCAGATCCTGGTACGACTGAAATGGGCTGAATAGGTTCTGGTGCTGCAGAATGTTCTTCTTGGTCCACTAAATTTAGAAGATTCTCAGCAGGAGCTCGGCCTACTGTGATTTTAAAAATTGCTGGATTTGGCTGAGATACCATTACACGGGGGGACTGTGTAAGAATACCTGAAGGTCTGACTGGTTGTGTATATGTTATATATACAGGATTAACACTAAAAGGTGGTTTAGGCTGACCTATACTTCTGGAAGAGGAACTTGAAGGAGTTGCAGGTGTATATAGTGGGTGTTGATTCCGTTGGGATGGCTGATTACTAATAGGTGAAGGGCTCCTATTAAGTGTAGTCCCAGGTCTTTGTGGTGGTTCAACAGTAATTTCTATCTTGTTCATGGAGCCTTTAGATAAAGTAGATCCGCTATATGGAAGATAAGACACTGAGTGTCCACTTGGTTTTTGATATGTCTGTGGTGTTTGTTGATATGGATGGGGTAACACAGTTGAAGGACTAGGAGGCATAAATACATGGGAACTTTGATGTCCTAATTGGCTGGGTTGAACTTGATGTTGAGGTGATCCAAAAGGAGAAGGACACTGGGAAGCAGGTGGTGATCGAAAAGGAGACTGAAGAATCTGGGGCTGCTTGGGAGAATACTGAGAAGGCTGATAGCTCTGTTGGTGTGGATAGATAGGTAATGGATGTGAACTATAATGTGGAATTGGACCTGGTGGTGATGAATGCCACTGTGTACTTTGAGTAGGAGTCTGTCGTCCCGAAGAACCTTGAGTTGTCTGTCTAATATAGAGTGATCCAGAACTTCCATAAGGAGTACTTTGAATTTGAGGAAGAATTTGTAAAGCTCTGGGTAAAGGCTGCCCAGAAGGGAGGTTTTGTGAAACTGTAACAGTTATAGGATTTGTGCTGTACCGAGGTATATGCATATATGGAGGAGGAGGACCTTGCATAGTAGAAGTATTCATTCCAGGCTGTATGGGAGAAGATTGCTGAGGTGTCTGTGGAGGAGGAGTAGCTGCATTTCTATTCTGATCATTCATAAAAAAAGGATTGTAGTTTGTAGAAGCTGCTACAACAGCAGGAGCAGAATGTGGTTCTTGGACTAAACAGATCAGCTGTTTGCCTTGGGTGCACTGTGGATCAATATGTCCATCACTTGAACTATGTACCAGTGTACGACCACCATTAAGCTGAGGTCCATCCACTCCATAGTTAGTATGAGGATGGATGCCAAGGTTAATATGCAGAAGACGATTCCTGTTCACTCGGGTGTCATCTGGGCTGTGATACTCCATATATAGATATTTGTTGCTCTCTTGTGCAAGAATTCGACAACAAGCATCAAGACTGTTGTTATTCTAGAAGAAATAATACATGCTGGTGTTCTACATTGTGGAGCAAGTTTTAGAAACTATAGTACAACAATCTGTTTTACTCTTCAGTATTATATTTGCTAAGGTTGTTACTTTAAGTTAAAACTTAAATTTATAATTTTGACTAACTTAAATTTGCTTATGAAAAGTCATATATAAACAAATCTTTCAAGATAAGAAATCTTCCACAAAGATTACAAGCATTATCTGTCAATTGCCATCCAGATCAGGGGTGTCAAACTCAATTACATTGAGGGACGCACAGCATTATGGTTGCACTCAAAGGGCCAGATGGTGGTCAAAGCTGGGTGGTCAAAGCTGGGTTGCCCATGACTGGGTGTGGCTGATTGGGCATGGCCAGCTGAACGCTGCTCACTGGGCGGGGTTGATTCGGGATGGAGCAAGTCACACCAGCTAACTTGACATGGGGACAATTCAGTGCCCCATAAGCCCCTCGCCTCCCAAAACTGCTGGCAGCCAAGTGCGTGCACACACACGTATACACACACACCCCGTATTCTAAGTTTGGGGACCTTTATCTACAGGGGAAGGAAAGGGCCTTCTCCCCAAGCCCAGTCATGATTGGCAGTTTGCAAGCTCAGATGCAGATATATGTCTCCTAGCTTTAAATGCTGTGTATGTGTGTGTGTGTATGTGCGTGTGCGCACAGCACTCCAAAGGAGACATTCTTCTCCCAATCCCAGACATAGTTGACATTTCCCTGTCCCGTGCCCCTTCCCAGCAAAGCAGGAGGCAGAAAACGACACTGCTGCATGTGGAAGTGCAGAGGATAAAGCTTGAAGGAAGCAGTTTCCTCCAGGTCCAACTTCTGCCTTGAGAGATCTCTGGAGAGCAAGACGAGGAGGCAAGAAAGGGGCGTTGGTCCTACCTGAATGCTTCTTCTCGGGGAGCCGAAGGGAGAATCCAGGATGGGTAGTCTCTAGTCTCCTAGCTCTGCAGACCGAGTTGAAAAACTGAGGACACACCCCCTGGTAATGGTCCCCAGTTCTGAACGATGTTGAAGCGAATTCAGCTGCTCGTCTTCAAGCAGATAGTTCATTGATACTGTGAAAAAAAGGGACATTTCCTCCCTATTCCAACCAGACAGAATACAGGGTGGGACAGGATTCTCCCTTCGGCTCCCCGAGAAGAAGCATTCAGGTAGGACCAACGCCCCTTCTCCGCTGAGCCAAAGGGAGAATCCAGGATGGGACATACCAAAGCTGGCTGATGGCTATCCTACGGGTGGGAGCTGGATTGGTCGGAGGTCCCCACCTCTACATGCACACCCTGCAGGACTCATCTTCCAAAGGACGCCTCCGCTGAGGCAAAGGAGTCAATTTTGTAATGTCTTATAAATGGGGTCACCGATGACCAGGTCCCAGCTCTACAAATGTCCAGAATCGATGCCTGCGTTGCCCAGGCTGCAGTGGTCGCTGCACTTTTGGTTGAGTGCACTGTGATCTTCCTGGGCACAGGAAGGCTCTGTAACTCATAGGCCCTTGCAATGCAGACTCTGAGCCAGCGACCTATTGTGGAATGTGACACCCTGCAACCTAAAGTTGACGGCTGAAAGGAAACAAACAAGGCTTCCGTCCTCCTAAAGGCAGAAGTTCTTTTAATGTAAATACGGAGGGCCCTCCTAACGTCTAAGGTGTGCCATTTTTTCTCTAGTGCATGGGTAGGCTCAGGGCAGAAATTAGGCAAAATCAACTCCTGTGAACGATGGAATAAGGAGTTCACCTTGGGCAGGAAGGTAGGGTCCAACCGCGGAACCACCCTGTCTGCATGGAATACGCACAGATCCTTCCTGATGGATAAGGCCGCCAACTCCAAAATATGCCTGGCCGAGGTAATGGCCACCAAGAATGACACCCTGCATTTGAGAAGGCAAAGGCAGAATTCACGTAAGGGTTCAAATGGGGGAGAAGTTAGTGCCTGCAGGACCTTAGGCAAATCCTAGGTAGGGTAGCGGTGGACCACCGGTGGCCTCAGGTTCGTGGCCCCCCTAAGGAAGGCTTTCACCCTAGGGTGTTGGGCCAGAGTAGTAGAGCCCTTGACCGAAATCACCAAGGCCAAGGCAGCCACCTGTCTCTTCAAGGTATTGGGGGCGAGACCTCTATCCAACCCATCTTGCAGGAACTCTAATACCTTTGCAACAGAAACAACAGTGGGCTCCAGTTGGTGACTAGCGCACCAACTGCAGAAAACCTTCCACATGGCGTTATATATCCTGGTCATGGAAGGTCTTCTGGCCGCCTGGATGGTCTGAATGACCTTTGTGGAAAACTTCTCCCGTTTCAGAATCCCCCGCTCAAGCACCAGATGGCCAACCGAAACCAGGCTGGATCTGGGTGCTCGATCAGGCCCTGGCTGAGGGAGATCTTGTGCAGGAGAATTCTCTAGGGTCTGGCGACTGACAGGACCATCAGGTCAGCGAACCAAGGACGCCTGGGCCAGTAAGGGGCTACCAACAGAAATTCCACCCTTTCTATCAGTACTTTCCTATTGCCCCTGGAATCAGGGGAAGGGGGGGAAGGCATACAATAGTCCCTGGGGCCACCTGCACCAGAGAGCATTGACCCCTTCTGCTCCCCAGGCAGGGAATCGAGCAAAGAACCTCGGGAGGTGCATGTTCTCTGGTGATGCAAAGAGATCCAGAATCGGGCGGCCAAAGCGCTCCGTCATCTCCTGGAATAGACTGGGATGCAGTCGCCATTCTGACTGGTTGACTGTGGCCCTGCTCAACCAGTCTGCCTGTACGTTGGATACTCCTGAGATATGTTCTGCTCGTAGGGACAACAGGTTTCTCTCCGCCCACCTGCACAAGAGTTGCTTCCTGCATTAGAGATATGGAGCGTGTGCCCCCCTGCCGGTTTATGTGGCCACATTGTCCGTGAGAAGCACATGTCTCCCCACCACCTCTTGCCTTAGATCCTTGAGCGCTAAGTGGGCAGCCCTGAGCTCTAGCCAATTTATGTTTTGCATGAGCTCCTTTCGTGACCACCTCCCCTGGATGACCTGGGCTCCCAAGTGGGCCCCCCAACCATAGAGACTGGCGTTGGTGGTGATGGTAATCCTCTGGGGTTCCCTGTACAAGCATCCCTGATCCATGGCTCAGGACTGCCACCAATGGAGGGAACAAAGAACTGGCAAGGGGACATGAACCCTCCTTGGAGAGTCGCCCCTGCTCGCCCTCTGGTAAGGGAGCAGGAACCACTGAAGGGTTCAGGTGGAACAATCCTGATGCACGATATCATCTTGCCGAGAAGTTGAGACAGCAAGATGATAAGTGCCTCTCAGGAAGACAGGATCAGCGACGTGACTTCCCTGATATTGTCTTGACACTCCTGTGAGAAAAACCTGTCCGGCCAAGGTGTCTATAATGGCCCCCAAATGCAAGATCCGAGTCAATGGTACTAGGTAGCATTTGTCCAGGTTTATCGAGAACCCATGCTCTCGAAGAATCCTGATTGTCGACATCAGATCATCCTCCGCCTGGAGTCTGGAAGAGGATGCTATCAGGATGTCGTCTGGAAGAGGATGCTATCAGGATGTCGTCTGGAAGAGGATGCTATCAGGATGTCGTCAAAATAGCATTGGATCCTTATGGGGAAGGTTCTGAGGTGTGCCGCTACTGCTGCCAAGAGCTTGGTAAAAGTCCGAGGGGCTGATGACAGGCTGAACGGAAGAGCCCTGTATTGAAAATGGCAGCCGCCATAGCAAAACCTCAGGAACTGACAGTGGTTGGGGTGTATGGGCACATGGAGGTAGGCCTCCGTCAAGTCTACCGAGGCCAAAAAATCTCCCTCCTGCAGTCCCTCTAGAATGGAGTGGAGGGAGTGCATCTTGAACCTTCGGTAGATTAGATGTCTGCTGAGCCCTTTCAGATTGAGGATGGCTCACCACCACCCCGAGGCCTTTGGAATCACACACAACATTGAATAGAAACCCTGTCTCTCCTGGTCCACCGGAACCGGCTGGATGGCCCAAATGTCCAGCAGATGGTGGATCACTGATTCCATGAGATCCCTCTTTGAGGGGTCCCTGGAGATGGGGCAGCACACAAAGGCTCTTGTGGGGGGAGGAGAGAAACTCTAGAGAGAGACCCAACTGTAAGGTTGACAGGATCCAAACGTCCATTGTGGTCTGTTCCCACCTCTGCCAGAACAGTCCCAGATGGCCCCCTATGGGGGATGAGGCTCAGGCATCACTTGTTGCGCCTGAAGGGTATGTTGGAACCCCTAAAAGACCGTCTGCCCTCTTGCCTCTGACGCCCTCTGGCGACAAAGGCCTGTCTATCGGCCTGAGAGAAGGATCTCTGGAAAAAGGGCCTACTCTGACGGGGAAAGCCTGCCCCAGCTTCCCCCTGTTTAAAGGAGGGCTTCCTGTAGTACGGAGGAGACCTGTAATCAAAGCGCCTCCCCTGGGAGGGCAGGATCTTTCACTTGTCCCTGGTTTCCGTCAAAAAGGGATCCAAGGCTTCCCCAAAAAGCGTCTCTCCCTTAAAGGGAGCCGACGCCAGCTTCCATTTGGTTCTGACGTCCATCTGCCAATTTCTTAGCCAGAGAAGCCTGTGTGCTGTTATGGAAGAGGCCATGGCTCTGGAAGAAAATTTGGCTGACGTGAGGGTGGCATCAGCAGTCAATTGAGCCGCAGCTATAATCTTATTCAGGTCCTGATGCACCCTGAGATCCTCAGGTGGGATTCTGTCCTGTAGCTGCCTCAGCCACCGCAACGAGTCCCGAGTAAAAAAAGATGTGGTCGTCGATCCTCTGATGGCCCAGGAGTCGGCTTGATGAGCTTTCCGGAGCGCCATCTCCTCCTTCCAGTCCTCTGTCTTTAGAACATCCTCCGCATCAGATGGGATGACAGATGAGAAAGCTAGGACTACCACTGGGCCATCTACCTTTGGCACTTCCATAATGTCCAAAAGATCTTTGTCCACATTAAATAAGGTAGACTCAGACCCACTGCTTTTTGAT